TGGTTTAATTTCAAGCTTATCAAAATCGAGTGGCTGAATGTTTTTCATCCTTTATTCTCTTTATGCATGGATTTTACTTTTTAACCTCACATTCTTTCACGTGCAGGAGTACCTCCATTTCTATTGCGATCCTCCTCTGTGTCACAGAGATATTAAATCTAGCAACACTTTACTGGATGAGAACTTTGTTGCCAAGGTTGGATGATTTTCGCACTGTATGCCAGCATTTCACCTGTTAATATTCACTGTCTTTTCAGCCCGAGTTTGAAACATTGCAAAGAATTTTTGATTTATGTATGGATAGGGTAAGATGCTGTCAATTGTTAACTAATTCCTTTATACCTGTATTACATCATTTTCACAGATAGCTGATTTTGGTCTTGCACAAGCTTCAAAAGATGGATCGGTATGCTTTGAACCTGTAAACACTGAAATTCGGGGAACTCCGGGTAACAAATTCTTTTCTTCACTATATTTTACTTAGCTGATTTTAGATTTTTACGTGATTTAAAGGAGGGTTCTATATCCAGGGAACTACAGCTATAAACCTTCATCATTGACAATACTTAATTTTGGATGTTAAATTCAATTCCAGGTTATATGGATCCTGAGTATGTTGTTACTCAAGAGCTCACCGAGAAAAGTGACATATACAGTTTTGGGGTATTACTACTTGAAATTGTAACAGGAAGACGAGCCATTCAAGATAATAAGAATCTAGTAGAATGGGCCCAACCATACATGGAATCAGATACGAGATTATTGGAGCTAGTAGATCCCAATGTGAGGGAATCTTTTGACTTGGATCAGCTCCAAACAGTAATATCTATAGTAGCATGGTGCACCCATAGAGAAGGAAGGGCAAGGCCTTCAATAAAACAGGTACTTAGGCTTCTGTATGAAACATCAGAACCAATGCACAGTGAGTTTCTACAAACTGTTGAAGATGAAGAATGTCATGGAAGTCAGCACAGAGGCAGAAGAAGCAAGGGGAAAATGCTCAGAAATGAAGCATTGTTTCACAGCGGAGAGGGAAGATATCTTGCTTCATCTTCGAGTACATCCCGGTCATATTGCAGTAGAAGTTTTTTACTTGAGACTGGCTCTCCACAGTCTCCGCCAAATATGTTCTCTGTGTGAAACATCGTTAGATTCTTCAAGTTGACTTGAGTTTTAAATTTCTCATTTACTCTGACTTCAAATTTGTGGATTTTTGGGAAGTAGGAGAAAGTCTATATGAAAATCATGGGAGAAATGAGAAATATAGTACTTCATTTTCTTTTTATTAGAGAACCCTTCAAACCTAAGTGCCTTTTAGAGTAACAGATTTCGATTTCATCATGGTCATCCATGCAAATTTCCTCTTTGCAAGGGATATATTGATTGAGAAGCTGTGAACTTAGCATACATGAGTGTTTGGAAACAATGAGAACGCAATTTTTGACGTCCAAAATTAAACAAATGTAAAACAAGAACTAGCTGCGATGTCTATAACGGAACTCTTTTCGTCAAATGGGCCTCTCAAAGCAGTTCCAAATACGCTGAAAGTAAATAAATCCATGTATCTTTCTTGACTACGATTCTCCCTATGCTTCCAGTCAGGTCACCCATGCCACAATTTTTGTAATGCCTTCTGACATTTGTAGAAGCATATCCGTAAATATTGATATTAAAAGAACGAGTACACAAGTTTTATTACGATATTCAGTAATGATTCCCACTGAAACTTCAAGGTACAGGAAGCATAAAAAGGTATGATGTTCAACCAGTAATCAGTATAAAAATAAATCAACATGGAAGAATTGTATATTGAAATACGATACAAGATACAAGTACAAAAGCTATTACTTGTACACGTCTCCCGATTCCTACAAGTAGCTAATCGGTTTCAGAGACTGAAAATAAACACTAATTCGAGGGGAAAGTTTCAGATACATGCAGGACAGTGACTATAAAAAAAACACATATGTCCAGCATATCATTTTTACAAGTCTTCTAAGGAATAAATTACCTGAAAAGGCTGAGGTTGCTAAAGAGAAAACTAATTTCTCAGCATAAGATTAAAACATCAGAACGGTTAATGCGAATAGCAATTCGTTGCCAAGTTTTCTAACCACCCACAGCAGCCAGGAACTTCTTCCTGCTTACTGGTTCCTCATGCAATACCACCACATCACTCACTTTCTCAAACAAATCCTCCAACTTGTCCACACCAAATCTCTGATATTCCAGCTGTTTCTTGTATCGCTGCTGGTATATAGCCTCAAAACAACCAAGGAATATTCGACAAGAATAGCTTACTAGAATCTCTTGCAGCTCATACTTGAAGTGCTCAATAACACAGTCATCGACTTCACATTTTGCTGCACTCTCCTGATTGCCCTTGCCTGTGCAACTTCTTTCGTCATGTTCTTCTATGACTACTCTTTCTTCATCTGAAAACTCATCTGAAGAGCACCCACCAGTGACAACATTCACATTCTCTTCCTGGGTTCCCTTTCCCTTCTTGTCTTTCTTTGCCAGAGAGAGAGGGGGAGCACTTGGGCCTGCCTTCCAGTTTCTGAGATACACAAATTTCCGATGCCCCTTCCCTTCCACAGCCAAGGCATCGCCCATCTTCTTGAAAAGATTGACCAACTTTATTGCCCCATATTCAGCAACATAAAGAGGTCTCCCATAAATTTTCTGGTACTCTGCCGGAACTCGGGCGAGAGGCAGGCATCCTCCAAAATGTTCAATCAATCTTACCAGCTGCCCCTTGAGGCCATTTAAATCCCCAGGTTGTACCCATAACTGGCATTCATTTTGATCACCAGAAGGCATCATAGACCCTCCTTGAACATCATTGAATACAGATGGAAGGCTGTGTGATCTCATAGTTGTCGGCAAGCATGTCATGTTCGATGTGCCACAGTTGTATTCAGACAGTGATTGTGACACTAATGAAAATTCCCTTGAGTTGTAATAGTTCTGTGACATACCTCTATAAACTATTGCTTCTTCTTCATTTAATACTTCAGAATTGTCATTGATTTGGCACCCCATCAGATATCCAGCAAGCTCAATTGGACCTCCACGGGGTGGCACTAAAGCCTTTGAGGGAGGCACAAATCCTTCCCCGCGTGCCACACTAGGCCAGTCCCAGACAAATTTACCAGCATTGCATAGGGCAGACGAAACACCCACCCCAGCAGGGATGACAAGAATAACAGTATATCCTCGCTGACCAAGGATGTGAAGTGCTGGTGCAAAATCAATATCTCCAGATATAAGCATAATAGAGGATGGTGGAGGGTTGTCAAGAGCAAATAAGAACATATCGACCAAGATAGCTTTATCAGCAGCATCTTTTCTCCCATTTGGAACATCAATAAGTTTAACACCAGTTCTCTGACAGCCCTCTCTAAGTCGCCTAGGGAAAGAATTGAAATCCCCATAAGCAGAAAACAGCATAACAGCTCCTTTAATTACTGGGTGCACCCGTAAAGCCATTCTTATATTACCTGCTACATCTTCAGGCCGTACATCACTTGGAACAGGACAATTCTCAATATCCCAAAGGATTGCTACTGGGCCATCTAAGGAGCTATGGAGTTGCTGGTTTAAAGGACATTGAAGAATGGCTGCATTTGACTCACTCATAGTCTTACCCTTCTGTTCAAAAGTGTCAGAAGATGTTATTTGTGTTGATTTACTAGGGGTAGCCATCAATGACTAGGAATTCAGATGTTCCTGCACGCATAATGGAGTGATGAGATCATTCAGCAAAAAAAATATCCCTGAAACATCTTGTTGCAACACATTGATAAGGTAATGCTATATAGGCTTGAATGATCTAGCCATATGACCCAAAAATAGGGGCACTGAACGCAACCGCGGTTATGAGAACAAGACCCACAGGACTAGGATAAAAACAGATTATTTCCCTTCAACCAGAAACAGGATAGGACTTAAGAGAATCAATTCTAGGAACTATTAAGTATCAACGCTGGTTTCTAAACAATGATTAAACTGCTAGAGCAAGAAGCATAACTGCCTGGTTGTCAAAGAGAGTCCAATGCAAGGTATCCCTATTCAGAGATTGCACAGTGCAAAACATGGGTGAAGTATATCAAACTAAGAACTAACATGATTCTTGAAATAAAAATCCCTACCAAATTAAAGGTTCTGAAACATTTTCGAAAATAAAAAATACAATATACACAATGATTTCAATTCATCGCCCCATTTTATACGCATCCAGGAATCACAATTACAAAACAAAGCCTAGTTCACCATCACAGTATCATAAAAGTGTATCCCCACTGAACGATTGAAAATGAAATCAACAAAACCCCACAATCAATAATCATAAACTCAACTATTACTACAGCATGTATTGAACCAAGACTCCCTTCCAATTCCATTGACATTTTAACACCAACAGCCAACTGAGAATAAACAAACTTTATGCAATTTCTAACACTTACCCCTATAAAAGGAAAGTCCTCAACCGCCCAAAGAGAAATTTGATTCCTGAACCTAGGTCTGCAAAAACAAAATTCAAAGCACAGAAATCTATTAGAGAAAAACACATACTGGAACGGGTAGCATGAATACCCTTCCAA